AAAAAAAAAAAAAAAAAAAAAAAAAAAAGAAAGAAAAAGAGCTATCATAGAGAGATTCCAGTGAATCTCTCTCTCTCTCTCTCTATATATATATATATATATGTATACATTTAAAAAGACTCTGTAGATCAAATTATGAACTTATGGACCACAAAAATACTATCATATGGGAGTAATGCTAAATTTGTTTCTCAAGAGATTAAAACCATAAATGAGCACTACTTACCTTGTTTAAATAATTCATTTGCGTAAGCACACAAGTGATCACAACTAAAGTAAATATCCAGGTTTGAGGATATATTAGCTGGTTCATTCCTGATAATGTTAGCTTCAAGGCAATTCCTATTGCTTTCACACTCATGACCTGTCATTAGATATTCAATTACAAAATCACTTGAAGAAGAGAAGGAAAAATTAGAAATTAAAAATTGCAGATAACTTGTAAAATTATAAAGATAACGGGGATGCAAGATGGATACATACCGACAAAGATCCTACAAGGGAACAAACACCAATGTAAACCATAATGTGAGTCTGGCCATATTGTGGTATAAAGTGGAATATAAGTATAAACACAGCTGTCATGACCAAAGCTGCATATAATAGAAAGGCTGCCAAATAAAAGTTCGTTATTATTACCAATATGTTAGTTAAATCAAATAAGTAACTGGATTTTAAACATCATTCCCAGAGAACCAAGATATAGATATGAAAACAAGGTTTAAAGTTTTTCTCTCAATTCATATCACCCATATATTGTGAGCTTTAACAGTTAAGAAGAGGCTGCTAAAAAAGGTGAAGTAAACAGTCCTTTACTTATACATAGTTTTTTATGCATCTTATACTTTATTGTGGAGACACCAAGTAAGGTCTACTCGTTTAATAGGGGAAGTTAAAAAACTTATGGTTACACTGGTGATAAAAAATAAAAAATAAAAAATAAATAAATAAATAAAACTTGCCAACAGTTCTCTGCTTTTTCACAGACTACATACACTAGAATGCAGGTAGTTTCTGAACGTTTAATAATTTCAAGAGCACAATTCCAAGCAAAAAAAAAAAAAAAAAAAGACTTTAAAAAATTTTAAACCTCCAAATTGCTTCATTCAACATTAATAAGAGGATATGCTGAGAGTTCTTCTTTCTTTCTTCTCTGCCTCCCTCCTTCCCTCTCTCTCTCTCTCTCTCTCTCTCTCTCTCTCTCTCGCCCCTTCTCTTTTTTTCGTCTTTCTAATAATATGGAAAAAAAATATTGTTGATTTTTTTTTCAAAGGGCATCATTCACAAGAATCTAAAGAAGGGGTCCCAGCCCTTTAATCTTATTCATCCCAGATTATTTGAGTTATGCCTTGACACAGATGCATGGGTCGCCTATGTGTTCTCATTCTCTCTTAAGGGAAATATTAAATTAAAAAACAAATAAAATAACCAAATCACTACTAATCAGAATCAATGATGTTTTAAAGTGGACAGCATTCACAGTAACGAAAAGTTACCTGGTTCCATGGCCATTTGCCACACTTCAGTTACAGATTCAATTTCACGTTCTTGAGGAGCATGGAGCACAATGGTTGTGGAACCCACTACACAAAGAATACAGCCAAGAATTCCAAAAATATGCAACCTCTCACGTAATATAATATGCGCCAGCACTGCACTGCAAGATATCATGATAATATGAGTATAAACAACCAAAACTTCTAACTTAATCTGTGCAACTTCAGACCATACCTGATAATTATGCTAAGAGCACCAAGTGGAGTAACCAGTATCGCTGGAGCAAATGCATAAGCCGCAAAATTAGCAATTTCTCCAACAATCACTGTAGAAATAACACTTGCCACGTTAAGATTTCCCATCATTTTTCCAGTTACAAAATCTTATCCTTTCATTATACATCTGCCAATTCGAAAGGATTATATGCTTTGCACTAATAGTCACCAAGCAATACTAATCTTAGAGCATAAACATTGATTTCTAGGTCCACTCGGGAAAAAAGAAAACCCATGCCCCTATGTTTTTCTTCATCAACTAGGATTTGCAAAAAAGAAAAAAAAAAACAATAATTTGCTTCATTGCTGTAAATTTATTAAAACTAAATGCACTGAATTGGGAAAGAAGCCAAATCCCAAATCACTTGTTCACAGAAAACGTTTGCTTAATAAAGGAACATCTATTAAACGAAATGGCCATGGGGCCTGATATCAAGGACAGATAAAAAAAACTATTACAAATAAATTCCACAATCTGTGCGAGATCTAACAAATATTTTCAGTAATCTCTATTTAGTGGCTACATGTTTTTTAAAAAAGGTGGCAGAGTATCAAAATGACGGTGTTAACTGATTAGATCCTAAAGTTTCATCTAGTATCTAAAAGTCTTCTTAAAAAAATTAAACAGAGAAATATGCCACGTCTGGCTGGGAAGCAAATAATAAAGGCCTTTAGTATAAGCTACGTTATAAAAAGTCAAAAAGACTTACTTGTAATCATGCCCACCCACCAAAGAGGCTCGTACAAGTAAGAATAACCTCCAACTCCTGACATAAATCATCACATCAATTACAGTAAACCACGCTAGATAACAGTTACCACGCACATAAAGCATGATAAAGATAAAAAAGCAGCAACCATCAACTTCAAAGGCATGAGAACCTTCATCAAACATAATAGAAAACAAAACTTGAAGCCAAGAGGATAAGAAAAGGTGCGAAAGGGGGATTTTGGATATCCCCATGAAGCCAAGAGGATAAGAAAAAGAACTCCCAATCGGCATAGATTTGCATCAAATCATAATCCCGGAACTATTGATCAGCACGTGCAGTTTCAATACCATTGTGAAAGGCTACTGCCCAGAATGATTCCAACTCAAGAGCACTTCTTAATCAGAAGAGACGATTAAACAAACACCCTGAAGGTTCAAACGATACAGAACTCAATTCATCACAAGTAACCTATATAAGGAATTAGAATTATGGGGCTACTCGTCTGCTAAGGAACAAATAGTAGTTAAGAATATATCTATCTGTTTTACAGTGTCTGGAATTTTCGGTGTGCAGTCTGCACTTGGAAGGAGTTAAATAAACCTTTTCTTTTTGGCAATGAGCATCCAAATAAGCAAATACTATAATTGATTGACTAATAGATACAATAGATCCAATTTCACAATTCAAATCAAGAAAAGATCGTCGAGAACCTCATTAATAGTGTGACCCACCTCTAATAACGGATAAGTCAAGGCATGAAATGCCGATTGCGACATTCATGTCTAAGAATTCGATAAAGATTCAGAAGCAAAGAAATCCAGGAACTACATTAACCCTTAATTTGGAAAACTGAAGCAGACAAGAAGAAAGAGTGAGATACCTGCTCTGACTCCAGAAGCGCCGGCTTTCTTCAAACCCTTTTTCTTAACAATGAAGCTAGCACCAATAAAAAAACTAGAGGAAAGAGCAAGAACCAAGCCCTTAATATTATCAGAGGACATGCCCTCCCGCCAGCTCGGAGTTTGAGTGGTTGCCATGGTCGAGAGAAACCCTAGCTTCGAAGCTTGGAAACCATATCATAACATCATCAATGAAAAAAACACACTTCAGAAGGACACAGCGGCCAGAATGCTACTGAATCACTTGGAATTGGAAAGAGAGTAAGATAAGGGGATTAATGTCGGATCTTAGAGCGAGAGAATCTGAGATCGGGATTGTCGTGGAGACAATTGTCGGCGCTCGAGACTGGTGTTGAAGAGGAGGAGGAGATTACTTGGATCCGAAGAGAGAAGAGAGAAAGAGAGATCCAAAAATCTTTGATTTGGTTTTACCAAAATAAAGACTACTCTCCGACTTTCGTTGATCCTTCCTTATCTTTTTCCAAAATTCCTCTTGTTCGATTTTTTTTTTTTTTTTTTTTTTTTTAAGAACTCATAAGGGTTTGAAACAACTTATCTTAATTTCTCTTAAATTTTGTTGAAGTAGTTCGTCAAATCTAACCCGTTTAATTGGTTAAGACGTATATTTTTCTTAAAAAATTAAGTATTTATTTTCCGATTATGTTAAAAATTACTTTATTTTCTTTCGAGAAAATAAAATATTCTTTTAGACTTTAAGTTTTGAGTTAGTTTTTTATTTGAATTTCGAGTTTAATTTTTGTTCGGTACTTTAGTTTCAAAATGTTACGTTTTTCTCGAGTTTAGTTTTCATTTGGTTCATAACTTTCAGTATTTTACATTTTTACCCTGGAAGTTTTACGCCTACTTATTTATGATGTTTGATGTTTACTTTTAGTTAATTAATTTAAATAAACTTAATGAAAAATTTTATTACCCTCAAAACATTACGTTTTTTACGAGTTTAGTTTTCATTTGGTTCGTAAGTTTTAGTATTTTACACTTTTACCCTTGAAGTTTTACGCTGGCTTATTTATGATGTTTGATGTCTACTTTTAGTTAATTAATTTAATGTAAAAATTTTAATTTATTTTAGTAGTGATTGTAAATGTAATTTAATTATTCTAAATTAATTAATAGTAATTATCACTTCTGACAAAAAAAAAATAATAATAATAATAATAAAATAATGTATTTAATGAAAATCAAGGGTAAAAATGTAAATCTCGAAACGAGAGACCAAATGGAAACAAAACTCAAAACTTGAGGGTAAAAAATGTAATATTTTAAAACTTAAGATGTAAAATTTAATGGTAAAAATGTAATATCTTTACAAACCAAATGGAAACTAAACTCGGAACACTAATCGATCCCATCGTGTTGGTAAGCATGTAGAGTATATAGGGTAGTTGAGGGAACTCAAATTTAGGTGATGAGTATGATACAATTTACCCAAAACTAGTTAGGTTGCATTATGGATGGTGAGTGGATGGTTCAATAAAAATGGTATTAACTTCTTGCCTAACAAATTTGATTTCTATACGAATATGGTAAAAAAAAAAATTAATCTTTGCATAATTTGCGTTTCAATATAATTTACTGTTTAGGTTAGATTGGAGAAGAAAAGTTGAAGATTTACGAACGTATTTATAGTCATCTAAATCCGATAAGATACTTTGAATCTCTAAAGTTATCAAATTTATGTCAAAGATTTCCAAACTTTAAAGTCCCTCCCTAGCTGGTTTAGGTACAAAATCGAAAGTTCAAAAGTTCATTTGATATTTTCAACGTTAAAAAATTTAGAAACCTCTCCGTTCAAATTTGTAATAATTTTTTAAAAAAACTTTGAGGTATGATTTACTCCTTTCTGTCACAATGTGACAAAAAAATGTGTTGATATCCACTCTTTGAATTGAGTTTATATTGAAGGTTTTAGGCCAAGAACGATGAGTTTATATTGAAGGTTTTAGGCCGAGTACAGTTCGTACGATAAATTCCTACCTCTAGTTTGAGAGGTAATTGTCCAAACTCAAAAGAAGAAAGCTCTTACCATTTTCAAAAAAAAAAAAAAAAAATGCTTGATGAATAGGATAAACTAGGATTAAAGCATAAAGCAAGCAACACCAATAGTATTTTAACTCATAAACAGTCCCACAAGAGAAATTGCTCCATTATCATACATTTTTTATACAATCCCCTAAGAACCTTAGAATGTTCGGTAGAGTTGATGCTTGTCCTACTTGCTTATTCTAACATCCAAGAAATTTCCTTGGCCAACACAATGGGTAGAATAACATTAAAACATATAATTATATAAAAGCAAGAGATCGAGATAGAAATATGGAGTAGATATTAAATTTTCAATAATATAACTAAACAGATTTGGGATCGAGGCTCGAGATATGGATATAAAATATACAACAATGTTTTTTATTAAAAGAATTAAAGTGGGTACATAATTTTGGAGAAGTTCGGGACGAAACTAGGGTCGATGGCAAAGCAGTGTGAGAATCTCAATCCTCTTTGTTCTTCCAAGTATAGTTTGAACATCTTCGTATATAAAAAGAATGTATCCAGTCGAAAGCAAGTAATGACCAACCGTATAAATGAGTGTTGTTTCTCATCAGTTCATCCATTAGATTTCAGCGGAAAATTTGGAGGAAGGACCATTTCGGCATGAAACCACTCCGTCTTGGTTCGGGGTATCGTCGGTGTTACTCTTTACTGTTACTAAGCTATGTAAGGGGTTTACCTTCTTCTAACAACAAACGAACTATAGATTTCAGAACCTCGTTATTGATAATAATAGAAGTCTGCAGGGAGAAAAAGAGGAGTAATGCATCTGAATCATTTCAACAAAGGATAATATTTCTACCAGAGAAATGAAAAAGTAGAGTTCAATTAGTGGATGTAGAAAGCATAAACACAAAAAGAAAAAAATTTGTTGTTTGCTAAGGTGACTACTGAGAGCTTCAGTATTGACCAATCAAGTTAAAACACAGGCCACGCTAGACATATTGAATAGTTTTTCAACTTCTTGACCGTCTTTCCATTTTGTGCAGTTACGTGCAACAAAGAACAGTTTGTAAAGTTCGATGTTTAGATCGTGTACAGCTGAAAAATGCAGGAACTAAGGCCCCTTTTGATTAATGTTAGATTTTTGGTTCTTTGTTTCTAAAAATATAAGTTATAACACCACACAAGTTTCTTTGTTTTATTATTCACGTTCTACAATGATTTTAAGAACTAAATCAAGTTTCAAAAACTAAAGAAAAAAGTGAAAATTCAAATGTTTCTGTTCCGAAAACTAAAGACAAGCCTCTTGGTGTTGGTGACCATCTAGTGGATAAGGAATGGAATGTTTTTGTAATTTAGTTAAATAAGATTAGTTGAACTCTCTCATTTGGATTTATTTAGATAGATTTATTATAACAGATGTCTATGCAACAGTTCAACAAGCCCACTGCTAGCCGATATTGTCTTCTTTAGACTTTCCCTCTTGGATTTTCCCTCAAAATTTTGAAAACACGTCTATTAGGGAGAGGTTTCCATACCCTTAACATCTGCTAGGAAGAGATTTACACACTCTTATAAAAAAAAGTTTCGATCTCCTCCCCAACTAATGTGGGATGATCTCACAATCCACCCTCCTTCAGTGACCAGCGTCCTCATTGACACTCATTCCGTTCTCTAATTGATGTGGGGCCCCCAATCTACCCCCTTCAAATTTATTCTGATTTGTTGTAACCAATATCTAGGGATCTATTTAAATTTATGGTATCTAGAAATTTAAATTTATTTAAATTTACTGTTACCTAGATATTAAGATTTATTCTTATTATTATCTAGGAGGCAGTTAGTCTTTCTCCCTAAGGGGCATGTAACTCTATGAGAAAAAACAGCATTTGCAACAGTTCCTTTTAAGGAAAGTAAAGGCTAAGGTAAGAAAATTGGATAAAAAAACCCATAAATTTAAAAAACAGAACAATACAAACAAAATAGTCATTAAATGGGACCTCAATTTCAGATTATTTGGTCTCCTGAATAAGACCTAAAGCCTATTCATGATAGTTCCTGGAAGAAAATGCACGCGAGCATGACATTTTTTAAGCAGGAGAACCAGAGATGCGAAAAAATTAATTCGTATGAATCTAAAAGCGTAAGAGTAGATTGATGGAACCTCAGGTCTTCTAATCAGTTCCTTCAGAATGGAATGGAGGGTCAATCTAAGCTCTTTAAAGAGTACAGCAATTTGGGCCGGTGCAGTCAATTTCAACCATCCGTCTATAATGACAATTCCACTCTGAGGCAACAAAGCATGAAACCAGAAGAACAAGAGTCAAAGGGTATTTCAATTTTGAGATGATAGGAAAGGTTAATCTCATAAACGCTTGTTATAAATGCGATGTATATGTATTTGCCAATCAACTATACATTAAGATGATATCAAAATGAACTGCAACCAAAGGATTAAAGGAAGGCTTTACAACCTAGTTCATTAATCGCACAAGTACTATATGCTTTAGACAATAAAAAGCCAAACATTCGAATGAACCTTCACAAGTTGGTATTTTTATACACTTTTCTTTCCCTCACCCTAGAACAGATTCGAATACGACGGTCGACACTTGGGATCAATTTTGGAAATACCAGGGATCTGCACAATTAGTCGGGAGGATTAAGAGATCGATACTTAAACCGTGGTATTATGGATTGCATTCTGTCGGCTACCTTTCCTTTTGGGGTTAAGAGGGTTGGGAGAGCTAGATGACTAAGGCTTAACTGAAAGTCACCTTCAGGCAATAACCCTTGGACTTGTTCATGCAGAACCAGAGTAGATTTGGAAGCGTGGAGACCAGCGGCTAGTTCAACGAGAACTTTAAACTCATTCAATGGAAAACTCAAAGGCTCATCATTGGGCAACTTTTACCTTGAATTGTGACCTTTCAGGAACAGTTTGTGGGAAAGTCCATGCCTCTCTCGACGTGTAATCAACTTCTTTTATAATAATATTATTTTCTGTAAATTTCCATTTCAATTTGTTGGTTCCAATCAATCTATTCTTTGAAATTTTTGGGTCATGTGATCACGCATTATGTGGCATCGCAGTGCAGGATCAGAAAATATCTTTTCTTAAATACTAGGACAATGAAAAATGAGTATGTTACCAAGTCTAAGCAAAACAGTACACGATTAAGTTGCATGCAACTTAATCAGCAGTGTACTTTTAGAATTTTCCCCATTACATTTAACTTACAATTAATCTAACTGCTGCAAGAACAAAGAAAAAGATAAAATAGAAACGATACCTGATGCTGAACATTAATGGACCCACCAAATAATAAGATGGAGTAGGGAGAAACAACAGAGGTATCTCGGATAAAGACTTTATTAGTTTCTACCTGCAAATTTGTTCATTCAGATAACAGTCATGGCCAAGAAAAGATGCGACCATTACTCAATAATCATAGGGAAGTTC